GGGTGGAGAGCCCGTCGGGGTCTGGGTGGAGAGGGCAGGTGAAGCGTGACCTCCAGAACCTCCAGATGTCCACATCCGGCTCCCTCCCAGGAAGAGGCCTACAGATGGCCTCTTCCAGGGGGGCCTGGAGACACCCCTCGCTGCAGGAGCTGATGGAGGAACCAGTCTCGGGTGCAGAGGCGGCTGCCCGGTGCCAGGCACTTACCCTCCCCGGCCGAGCGACGCTGTTCTCAGTGCCTGCCTCCTCTTGCATGCGCCCACGTGGTCTCTCATCCTCCTTCCCTTCCCTGCCACCCCTACCCCAGGCCATCCCAGGGGACCCTCCTCCCCCAGGGGCCAGGTTCTGTCTCCCACTGGCATAATCACTTCTGCACTCCCATGTGTCCCGAGCACCGGATGCCACGTAAGCATCTGCCCACTTGCCCGCAGCCAGCCCACCTTTCTTGGCCTCCATCTGTGTTCGTAAAGTGCCGTCGTAGATTGAATGGAAGGAATCCGGCTATTCTGCCCCAGCTGTAGACAGAGCTTCTGTGGGGGACACAAAAGAGTGCACGACTGTCCCCCTCGTGAGGGACTTACTTAGTGGAGGCACAGCGGGGAGTGTGGGGTGCTGCCCTGGACCCCCATGAGGCCATAAGCCGTGCATCCTGCGGGCGTTCACAGGGACACTGATAGCGACAGCAGAGCTCATCAGCGTGCGGTCTGCACCGCCAGAGCCACGCCGTGTGGGTGTCACCCCATCTTCCCGTGACATGCACCCTCTTCGATCCCTACTTACCATGAGAAAACAGGCCAGGAGAAGCGAAATGAGAGGCAGAAGCTGGACACTTCCGCGGGTCTGCCGAGTCCTCCTGGGAGGACCGTGCTGGACCTCATCGCGGAGGGATGAGGGAAAAGGGGGGGGTTCCAGCTGGGCGCCAGCACCCCGGAAGCCGAGCAGCTTGGGCCTCGTGCGGCCGCCTGCCCCTGGCCTCAGCCTTCATCACACATCATTCCCATCCTTCCGGCTCTACCATTAATAGGACATGCCATCAGTTATTTGGACTCAAATCTGACAAATTAAATTGCAGAAAATTAAATAAGTTGTAGATCGATGTTATCAGAACGATCGATTAATTATTCCTTCTAATTAAAATGACCAGTGCCTAATACCTTTCACTTATATTTTATGGCCCATTTTCTAATTCAGAGCTTTTAGGTGATTGCATTGACCGCAAGTACACGCACACCGTGGAAGCAAATAATTTATTAATCAGCACAGCTCATTATGGAAGATCTGATTTAATAACCATCACCGAGATACAAGAGGTGGGTTTAATTCAGCCTGGGCTTTTCTCAAGGTGCTGGAGGTTTGTCATTTCACTCCGTTTTGTGGTTCTGCGTGCCACGTGACATTCCTTCTCTTGTCAAAAAGAATCGTAAGAAAAAAATAGGCGTGTGTACTTGTGAAACAGGTGAACGGACTAACTCAAGTGGTTCTTCAAAGTTATGTTTTAACTTTAATCTTTTAGCACGAAGGGTTCGTGACTGAATGTATTGCCGGGGTCCCGGGAAAAGCGCTCTCAGGATTCGGGGAGGAAAGGGCCTTCGCACGTTCGAACGGGTGCCACCTTCGCGGTGACCCCGAAATACAAATTAAATAGCAAGCACTTCACAAGCTGCTTCCCTACCTCCATCAGCTTTGAAATGCGTACAAACAAAAGTTCTCATTGAACCTATGATTTATTATTCCACTGGCAACGCCGGACACCTGGCCGGTGTCCGAGGAGGAAACTGGGGCTCAGAGAGGTTTCGTAACTTGCCCGAGTGACTCCGGCAGTGAGCAGAGGACTTGGGACCAAGCCTGGCAGCTGACTTGGGAGCCCAGGCTCTTCGTGACTGTTCTATTAACTCGACACACTTTTCAGGGGGCACCTAATACAATACGAGTGTAAAAAAAATGGGAGGTTTTGGTGCCACGGCTGGCAGCTTACTTGGCAAGAGATGGATGTCTGGCTGATAGAGAAACTGATTCGGTTTTCAACAAAGCCTGCAGATTAATCACACTTAATGAATGTGACTAATGTGTTAAAGGAACGAGCGATTAAATTATTAGCATTCTGAACTTCTCCTGCCTGGCTAATTTCTTCTCCTCCCTAGGGTCACCATCTTTCAAAGAGGTAGGGACACAGAATTACTGATATGGATTTTATGGAACAGAAATGCATTTTAAATGGCTTAAACTGGGGACAGTCTGTGCGGTTCTCAAGTGGCTGTCAGTCTTCACGTCTCGCTGCTCACGCAAGGGGTGTGGGCTGAGGGAAGAGGCTGAAACTGTCACAGAGGCTGGAATTGGAGACGGGAGGCCAGGCATTTCCTGGGGAAATGGCTTGGAAACAGGAGACAGGCGTGGGGGGCCCCTCTGCGGGGAGGTGAACTGCCTTTCTGTTTAAGCACAAGGGGGGATGAAAGTGGCTGAGGAGGGATGTCCCCTGAGGTGCCGCACTGGCTTTGTGCTTTATCCAGGATCACACGCGGGACTGCTGCGTCACTGATGCATTTTGAGGATGATCTTTGGAGAATCCCGGCATGGTCTCCCCAGAGCACACTCTGCTTCCTGACTCTGTACACAACCCATTGCCGGATGGGAGCGCCAGGTCTATAGGGCAGGGGTCCCCAAGCCCAGGCCCACAGACCGGTTAGGAACCGGGCTGCACAGCAAGAGGCGAGCGGTGGGCCAGCGAGCGAAGCTTCCTCTGTATTTGTAGCTGATCCTCAGCGCGGGCACCACCGCCTCAGCTCTGCCTCAGATCATCAGGCATCAGATGCTCACGGGAGCGCCGGGCCCTGGTGCCAGAAAGGTTGGGGACCGCTGCTTTAGGGAGCAAGGAGTGTCTCGGAGTACAACTCACGGACTTGGGGCCGGGAGATGCCACCGCTGTTGGCATTCCACGACTTTTGGCAACTGATCAGGTTTGTTCACGTGTTGTGTAAACCGGGGGTCCCACACTCAGAGACCTCAGAGGACAGATGGGTAATGTGACCGAAGTGGACAAGACGGGAACGAACCCAGAGCAGGAGGCGAGTACTCACCCCAGTCTTGTTCCACGCGACGGCCCAGGACCAACGTCGTTAAACCTTTTTTGGAGAAAAAGACGTGTGTGTGCGTGCGTGAGCGTTTCTTTTTGCTGCTGTAATGAATCACCACGAATTTAGTGGCTAAAAACAACACGAATTGATTATTTTACAGTTCCGGAGATCAGAAGTCTCCAATGGGTCTGCAGGGCTGTGTTCCTTCTGGGGGCTGCAGGGGAGAATCGCTGTCCTCGCCTTCCACAGGCTCGCGAGCCCTGCATTCCCGGGCTCCGGGCTCCGCTCCTCCGGCTTCGCAGCCAGCAGCCTCATACCTTCTCTCCGATCCGATGTCCTGCTTTTCCCTGACAAGGACCCCGTGATTTCATCGGGCCCACCGGGACAATCAAAGATAATCACCGGGTCTCAACATCCTTGCCAATGTCGTCCTTGGGGCAATTAGGACAGCCAAGACCCAGGTCCTGAGAAGGGTCCAGGAGGAAGTAAGTGGTCAGTGTGCTGTGGACCTAGAGAGAGGAACACAGACAAGTCAGCGGGAATCAAAGGAAATCTCAGAGGCGGTGGGCGACGCGTCAGGGAAAAACAAGCCCCGCAAACCCTCGCTACTTTACGGGTGAGGAGACAAGGCATGAGCGGGAGGGAGACTTGTCCAGGGCACGGAGCCCACGCACAGCACAGAGCAGAGGAACTTTGTCTGTTTATACACCCACCACTACCACGGTCCTGCCAAATCCGTACACTGCTTGTATTAATATTTCCTTCATATTCAAATCAACTCGTTCTTGATCTAAATAAATGCGAAACGAACTTTATCTCAGTACAGTCATTGGAAAATCAGTGTGGATAGAAAATAAACACTATAAAAATAAACGATGTCGTTAAGGCCTCTCCAGTTCAACTTCCTGCTAAGGGCTTGGAATTCAAGACTTATTCATTTAAAGAGCAGATGAGCAAATGTTAGAGAGGAATCCAAGATGCGTTAGCACCAAACGGTGACTTTCTCATTAGCATTAGCATAATCGGAAGGATAGGAAGCAAAGCGAAAAGGGGATTTCTCACCATGCGATAGGAAATGATTTAAAGCCGTCGCCCTGCAGCCTCTAAAATCTGACTTAGGGAAAGCGGCGGTGGTCAAGGGCACAGTCTCAGGAGGCAGACTAGCCCGCTTCCTGGCGTGCCGCCCGCCCAGCCCTGCACAGGACCTCGGTTTCCTCGTCAGACAAACAGCTGTTACTTCATGGGGACCTTGACTATGAAAGGAAGAATGAAGGTAAAGCACAAAACCTAACACACAGCAAATGCTTAAACATAAGCCATTATCATTATCATTATTACTGAGCTCTGCACACAAGCCCCTAGCGTTTTCAAAAATTTTTTTTTGGATAATGACAATAATTATTAAGCACATAGCAGTTACTATGCACTGGTCTCTTCTCGGTTTAACATACAAATCCTATTTTACATATATTAGGATATATCTATTAAGATAGATGTGCATATTAGAATATATATGCACATATGTTAAGAACTATTATCTTATTATCTTATTATCCCTGTTTAAACTATGATAATTTATTCCTATCCCTGGGTCCCTATACATGTAGGTTTTGCCCGAAGGGACCGCAGAGTCGGCCCACGGGACGTTCCTGGAGTCCTTTGCCAACTTTCTTCTGGGAAGGTCCGGGGATACAGACCACCGCCGCCGAGGCTAATTGACGGCGAGCCGCCCCCTCGGCCCCG